ACATTTAAACTATATGATCATACAAAAAAAATTACGACTTGAATGGTCTTTTTTTTTTTTTAAATCATGCATAAGAATGGACCTGACATTAGTCCATACAAAAAGTGGCTCAAGGAAACCATCTACATCTAGCCATGCAAAACTGACAAAAAGTATCATAATTTCACATAATCACCCACACCTTGGAGCTGCATGATATGACCAGGCGAGCAAACTGCACACAAAACTGACAGTGATTACAATGACAGCAAACAGTGGAATGGGTGGGACTCGCATGTCATCAGTGACAATAAATAATGCTACAGGTTTTTTTTAAAAGAACATCATGAAGTTAGAGATTTTTTTTTAATCAAATGTGTATTCAAATCAATAATAATGTATTCAAAGACAAAGCTTTTGAACATCATCAAAACAATACACAAGGAAGAGAAGGTCTCACGAAGTACACATTTAAAGCCAACACCATGTCAAGTTTGAGGACATAACAAGTTGGCATGTGCTGGATGCCTGTGAGTGTTTAAAGCCAGAATAATAATAATAACAAAAAAGAGTGAATGACCATTTGTAAGATTCAACAGAACTTCTCCAAATACTCCAATGCACACATTTGACCATGCAAGAAAATTCATCAAGCTCACAACATATTATTGTCATCCTTAGGCCAAACATAAAGAGTTTATTCAACTTCACAATTTTTTATTTTGTGCTGTTGAGCTCAATGTTTGTACCGGTATAACTATAAATGAATATGTCCATCTAAAAAAAACTTCCATACTACATGCACGCTTCAACTTCAACACATTTTTCTATGGGGGATTGAAGCCTTGTCATAACTGTGCCCAGGACAAAGACATTGTCTGCCCCCCACCCCCAGGCACGGCTCATCAAATGGCTAGAGCTAATTGCATTGCATGTAAATTTAAAACATAAATAACATTGGAGTACTTGACACCAAATCAAAAATATACAAGCTGGATATCCATGGTCATTGTTGTCTCAATATAGTATATTGGGTTGGTTTAAACATTGGAGGAACACACAAAAAGGTACGTGCTTGCAATGTATTGTTAATTAGGCATTTTTAGATTTTTATAATAGATTATAATTATAAAGCATAAGTTACATTATAAAAAATGAAATCAAAACAAAATGCATCGGTCACGATGGCTTAAAATCTAATTTATTCTGATTTTCAGAAAATTTAGAGAAAGGTTAAATTAATCTTAAATAGTTCAGTCCAGAAATATTTTTTCATACCTTTTAAAAATAGCTTCTGCTAATAAATAAATTGACTTTCCTGGAGGTATTTGATAGAAGGTTTTTTTTTTTAATGTAACAGTGAATGACAATAGGCAAAACAGCTTATTGGACTCATGTGCAGATAAGTTCTGAAATAGATCATTAGACCAGTGTACAGATACAAGTTCTGAAATAGATCATTAGACCAGTGTACAGATATAAGTTCTGAAATAGATCATTAGACCAGTGTACAGATATAAGTTCTGAAATAGATCATTAGACCAGTGTACAGATATAAGTTCTGAAATAGATCATTAGACCAGTGTACAGATACAAGTTCTGAAATAGATCATTAGACCAGTGTACAGATACAAGTTCAAAAATAGACGAGTTGTACAGATAATTTTTCGTGTAGACAATGCATTACAGAGAAATACTCCCCAGAGTTTCAATGATTGAATCAACTCAGTCACAGTTACATCAGTTGATAGCTATTGTATAAAACAAAAGAAATAAGCCTGGATAAAAACCTGTTGGTTGAGCTGTTGATGGTGAATATGTTTTGTCATACACCTCACATAGTATTGTACGTAGCTTTGTGGACAATCACATGCTGTCCGGTATGTTCATCTATGACAGGGCCAACGCTTCTTAGATGAGTTTATTTTTTGCCAAATACTTTTATGACCTTAGAAAGCATTAGCCAATATTTTACACTTCAAAATTTTAAAAAGAAAGCGTGGCCTTGTTAATGCTTAGTAAGCACTTCAACTAATCATTACCTGAAGGCTGTTATTTTGTTACCCATCCCCGTGAAGTTTACATTTTAACTTAGGAAGTCATCCCCCAAATATACTGCTATAAATAGCATAACCATTCTAACATGCAGCTATGTTTATACAGTGGGTCTACATGGTCTCTTTGCTTTTTGAGTCACAGCACAATATAATTTAAGGAGCCTTGGTGCAGTTAAATAAATGTTGTCGAATTGTGAAATATTTATTTAAAATTAAGGGAATATAGTTAGCAACAACAAAAAAAAGTAATTCAATTAAGTTAGGGTTTGCTTTCTTTGTCCTACAAGCGATCCTATCACTTCAGCTTTCAAGTTTGGTTTGCCAAGAGTTTGAAAACAAGCAAACCAAGAGTTCAAAATTGAAAATAGAAAAATAGCCTCAGGTCCACTCCAATGACAGAAATATACTTACTTTTAGATTAGCTTCTGATCATGGTATGATTTTTTTTTTTAAAATACCGTATTAAAGTTATTTGCCACGATCAGGTTAAAATGAGTATGATTTTTTAATCATTCTACTCGTGGCTCAGACTTTTAAAGATCTTTATAAAGTATAAAGCTGAAAGATTAATCTGAATTTATTGTTTCCAGGTAATTTCTGTACTTAAGAAATAAACAAGGATCCAAATAAGAATTATTTTTTCAGCGGACTCAGCATGCTTCTCCGTTTCTCTTTTTCAACTATATGAAATTGCACAGGATATCACAGAAAATATAAAAATTAATTTCTTAGCTTTATACTGGGGGTTCCAAGACTATATGGGGCCCACTGAATGTAACCCATCATATTTCTTTGACAGGTTTATATTTACATTTTGATTCTTTTATTTAAGGTGCTTATTATATAAATTAAGGTATTCCAGTTTGTTCAGTTCACTGCAGACATAGACCATTGCAATCAATACTGGATTCTTCTATTGCCAACGGCCAAATGATTTGCATCTGCCATTGGCTTTTCAAAATCAGGATACAGAAATATTCCCATGTAAAAGCAAATACCATATTTTACGGACTAAAAGACGCACTTTCTTCAAAAAATTGCCTCCAAAAATTCAGGTGCGTCTTATTTTAATTGCTTAAAAATTAAGGTGCAACTTATAGTTCATAAAATACGGCAAAGGTCCTTAAAGGTCAAATCATTGTAGACCATTAGAATTTAATATATACAACTAATTTTTTTTTAAAATGTCAGCAAATATACTTGTCAAATTAGAATTGGTTGAAACGTTTTTTTTAAACTTCAAAATTATATCTCTTAATATGATACATTTCTAAATTAGTTATCTAAATATAACAAGTCAACCTGATAGCAATGGCTATTTAGTGGTGAATTAGGAAGACAGATTTATGAATCTAAATTTGAGGTATGTCCATTTCACTTAATTGAGGGAGATTCTATATTGAAAGATTTTGTGCTATGGAGCAATGCAGAGGATTAAACACAAGTTTTTAAAAACTTTGCCAAACATTGATAGTTAACAGGAACCGGTATAAACAAAAATTAGAACAATTATATACTTTTTAAATTCAAAATTAAGGCAGTAGAATGGGGGACCTCATCCAAATATGGGTGAAAAAATAAATGAGTCAAGAAATATGTTAGCTCACCTACCAGGATCCACATTTAAAGGGAACTGTAAATAAGGCTTTAAAAGCTAAATAGAATTTAAAAATGAATAAGTTTCTGGAACCATCAATCTGACCGAGACATACAGTACAGTGGTATATGGCCACTCAGGTTATTTAAGTCCAGAAAAAAAAAACAACAACATTGAAAATCTGAGTAGACAACAAAAAATATTTAAAGCATTAAATTTGAAAATGTTAAAACTCTGATAACCCATGATGAGAGTGATATGATGAACAATGCAAACATTTACACGGAAATGGATGAGATTTCTGAAATACATGGAAATATTGTTTTTAAAACTTGGTGAAATATGGAAATAAATTACTTGCTAACCGCCGATGGGGTGAAGACCAACTGTGGACAAGTGAGAAATTCAGTTACTATTATTTCATGACCTTGTCCAGTGTGATCATAACATTTTAAATCAAATACCACCCAACATGGGAGAGCTAATAAATAAAAAGATGAATTGTTCAATAAAGTCATATGCTGACAGCTACTCAATGACCTCATGCAATGAAATAAGTCCTTTTGATATTTCAGGAGGAAGGTTGGGGTCTCAATTTCACCAGAATTTCGTTGTGAAGGTAAGAGGACAGGTTAGTTTAAGCTGGTATTACTATTTTTATTGTTATGAGACAAGCAGACACCGGATGAAGACATTTTGAAACCCTGAGACAAAAAAAAAAATTCATTTACTTTAGCAGCATTTTAAGAGAAATAAACAGTGCTGAAAAAATAAATGAAGTTATTCCAATAAAATATTAAATCACATAAAATATGAAAAGGGGGGGGGGGGGGGGGGTTGTGTGTGTTAGTAATCAATGACTTGTCTCAATATGAATTTAAAGAAATTATTTTCTCCTAATTCATAAACCAGATATTACAACCTCAGTCAAATATACACATATATTTTTAAATTATTTTTAATGCCTAAGATAATTTTTTCAGATTGTCACTTCTTAAAATTAGAGGTAAAATGAAACCAAAATAAAAAAAAGAACAATATGTGCTTGCAATCTGACTAAATATCACTGCATAGTGTAATTATTGTTATGGGAATTATGTCAGGTTTTACACCAGCGCAAACTAATCTTTGATGCAGATCATACATATGATTTTCCAGGAACATGACTTATTGGGTGCAGATATTACATTAAGATTATACAGTTTTTTTTAGTGCCTGGGCCAGTTAACAAATACAAGTTAATACAGGAAACAAAAAGAGTATGTTGGATGTTCAGACTAAAATGTACTTAAAGAGAAAATTAAGTCAAACAAAAACTTAAATGATTTTTGCATTTGTTAATTGAAAAGATTGATTATTTGATTAGGTATAATTAGAGCTAGGTCATAGAGCCACTGAAATCTCAAATTGGATGTTATAATTAAGAGCCAATTTTTAAAAATAAATCATGTTCTCTGATTAAAATAGTAGTATTCATCATTTAGCTGTACATTTTAATTGAAGTATTCAAATTAAGGATCATATATCACAAAAATCTTATCTCCATGTTATGACTGAATCCATTATCATCTTCATGAAATGAAAAAAAACATCGACATGGCCACTAGAACATTTGAAATCACAGACCTAAATGTTGATGTTAAGACCTTTTAATTCCAGTTGAATCCAGGGCACTAACACATCCTAAGTTACGACGCCTCAAAGCTGTTAGCATTAAGTTCTTTGTTTCAGGAACGTAGGCTTTCATTTACTTGGCTCTCTTTTCACATAATTACAGATCAACCAGCTTTTTTTTATCCTTTTGAACTCATTCTTCTAGAAGAAATTTACAGACTCGTCCTTGCTTGAGGGAAGTGTGTGACATGGACCTAGAGTAAAATAGGTTGAAGTTCCCATTGAATTCCAGTCAATACTATGAAAATTTTAGGATTTGAAAATACTGAATCAAAAAATTGTCAAGCAGATGTCATCACAACAGGTGACACAAATTTAAAAAAATGAAACGCATATTTATAGAAATGATCAAGTTTAATCAGCACCAAATCCAGGCCTGTGCTATAACAAGTCATACATCAGTTTGTGATGGTCTAGGTCATTTGTAGGATACAAAGATCATTGATACAGACACAAAAATAACTTATTTGAGCTAATTTAATAGGTTCAGTGACTCAAATACAACTACCTTCTATTGAGCCATCCAATGCCCATGAAAATGTATTCCATTTTAAAAAATATTTGCAACTTAGTCAACTGCTAATGACACAATAGTGATACTATGACATATGTAATTAAAATGTGAAGAAGAAAAATAGTCTAAACATATATTTATTTTTTGCCTGACGCGGGATGTAAGTTTTATTAACCAATAGCAAATAATTCATTTTTTTTTTACCTGAAAATAATATTTGGTGTCAACATGGAAGACATTTTTAAACAGATTGCTCCAGAAATGACTTACGACAAAATTTCTCATTTCATTTCCTATTTTTAAATTTAATTGATCTTCAATAACTTTTAATTTGTAAACTATGTTTTCAAAATAATATTTCAAATTCCTTGAGTTGAAAGTCAGCATGACCTACCTTATACTTACTATGGCTTAAAAAAATTTAAGTTCAATGACTTGCCCATTAGGCTAAGCTTAGTGAAATTTTAACGCTAAGACAAACTTCATTTACAAAATTAATGGTGAAAGGAAAAAAAGCAATAGCAATTAAAATCTCTCTCCTGCACATTCGGCATTGAAAAATAACCTGATAGGTAAATAATGAATCAATTATAAACATTCAAGAAGTTGAAATAAATACTTTCTTGCACTTGATTAAGTTTTCATGCAAGAGGAACATTTACATTTCCACTGATGCCTATCGCACACAAAGTCATTCTACATTTTAGATAAGGGGAAAGAGATGATCATAGCGAGCCTGTTAGTTAAGTGCATATTAAAGGTCACGTGAGTTATCTGAATAAACAATAGATAATTTAATCTCACCATTTCTCAACAACAATCTGCCTACATCCTAATATTTTACATGTTTAATATGAAGCAAATGAAAACTACAAAGTGCACCACAATTTTTTTTTGAAGACCTAATGAACTACACATCACATAAAACTAAGACCTTCGTCATCAGAAGAGTCTTCTTCCTCTGTGTCCTCTGTATCACTTAAGCCGAGGTCTGAGTACCTCCCAGCAGCAGCTGTTGAGACAAAGGAAATATTAGATGCATTATTATATTTCAAAATAAGAGATACAGTTTTAAAAGGTTATAATTTACTTTAGACACACCTTCACATGACTATGTCTGTTTGACAGAAGCAAAACGAAGGCAAACCATTTTCTTCAAGCTATCAATTTTCTTATTTCTATGGGAAGTAGACCAATAATTTAATAATTTTTATTTTCAAAATATATTTGTTGGTAACATTACAGAAACAAAACTGAGATAAAACATCTCACTGAGCTCATCATATGCTTGATTTATAAAATGCCACATGATACTCTTTGGATATCTCAATTAGTAAGCATCAAGCAATGAGGTATTGTAGAGTAGGCCAACATGTGTTTCTAAGGTCCCAATAAATTACCTTCTTCTGGCTTCCAAATCTTGCAAATTCTTGCAGCTTCTCTATTTCCTGTTAGAAGGGCCCCATGAGTTGTTGAGTAGAAAGATTGATGGGTCGCCTCACCAGCGAATAAAATGACGGGCTGAAAATGTAGAGCAAAGATGGACCAGTCATAAAACCACAGAATTATTTTTTTAAACTGCAAGCAACAAATGTGAGTGGAATTTTCATACCATAAGCTACCTTGTCCAATGTACTTTCAGAAAATGTATAGTTGTAAGGGTCTATGAATTTATATAGTCTGGGATTTTTTAAATTTTTGACAAGCACATGAAATTGCTAAAAATGGCTTGACGCTATAGAAAAATGTTGACAGATATTTAGGGTTACAATACTAAATTTTAATAAACAAAGTTAGATTCTCCATTCATCAATTGGCAAATAAATTCTTTGAACCAATGATATTTAATGCCCCATTCCTCCTGAAGATTATGTGCACAGGCACAAAAATATGACAAAATTTCATCACCATAAAAAGATAATGATTTTACTACTCTAAATTTATCTGCATGTAGTATGTAGTCTATTTTTAGAATTTACTTGTCAAAAAGGAGAAAATTGTAACATGTTATGACATTAGAGACTGATAAAATTTTGACTTCAGTTTAGTCGCCGAAAGTTGCCATTTGATCACTTTCAGCATAGCTTCAGCCGAAACAGAAAATGTAACTTCCAGTTTTTGTCATTACAGAAAAGTTAACTTTTGGTTTAATTTCGTTTTAAGCCAAAGTGATTGAAATTTTCTGCCGCCTGACCAAAATTGATGAGGCTTCTGGTAATGTAACAGAAGTCGGACTGACTGTCAGTAGGCCGGCAACCCAATATTCATTATTGCTTCATGACTTGCTGTCATTGTATAACACTGCTGCGTGATGACCTACATGTCCCATATTTCCAAAAATTAAATTTTAAATAGGAACAGGCAAAGGTAAATAGTTTTGTGGAAACACTACTATAGAAATGGTAATGTTTTAATTTTTTAGAAAAAAAAAATTGGGAACCCTAGTTTTATTCAATTCATTCATTTGTGACATGCATTTTAATTTTGTAGTAAGTAAAGGTGAATAACATTGAATCTAGGAAATGATAATTGCCATTATCATTTTTGTTTTATTTTTAAAAAATAAAAATTAAGGAACCTTAGGTTTATTCAATTCATGCATTTATTGAAATTCATCATGATCATAAACATTGTTTAGTGACAAAATAGCACAAGTGTGCATGTATTACTATTTCGTATAATATTTATGTAGTACTACTACTACTAGTAGGCCTACTTTCATGATTTTGGAGACCAATTAACTATTTTTGAAAACACAGAATTATCATGATGATAACCGCGAAACATAGAGATATTTTGATAGCCTTAGCAGATTTTAGGTGACATTTGGCTCAGAGACTTCCAGGATAATTATTGTATAATTTACGCCTAAATGTAGTCACATTCTGGTGCCCCCCCCACCCCCGTATAAATTTTCTCTTACCATAATACTTTAAAATAAATTTTTAACAACTTTAAATTAAATTATAATTAAAATAGTACCGGTAATAGGCAAAGTATTCATTAAATGTTTATTAATATTCAAGATAATGCCATTTTTTATTTAAAAAAAAATAAATACTGATATTTTTAACCTTCATTTTTCATGTATGAAAAATGTATACACGAACGAATTTCAAAATACCTAACTTTTGTTTTCGGCCTAAAGTCTCGTCAAGCTTTTCATTTCAGTTTCGGCCAAAAGGCATTTTTAACATTAGGTCTTGTTTTCCGTTAGAATCAGAAAATCACTTTCAGTCTCTCTCTCTAATAGACATTAACCCCTTTTCACCCCGATTTACCTAAAAACCAAGGCTGGGGCTACAAAGCACATATTTTATTACTAGCTCTAGTCAAAGTCAGGTAATTGTCAATTTTATTTATTTTTCATAATAATCCTTTTCCAAAACTTGTTCATAACCCTTTTGAATCATTTTACTGCTCCAGTAAGCCTTCAGGACAGCAGTAGTTTTCATTTTCACAACGCAATGCAATAAAATTGACTAAAAACATAACTAAGCCTATGTCGGTTACTGTGTACATGTCACATGGTCAGCTGTGACTTTAGTATTTACTGAAACATTTTTGTGTGTTATTGTGGTTTTTTTTTTGGGCATCTGTGAACTCAGAAGAACAAATTGATGGCAAATAAGCTGGTTACCAGTCAGCAGACCCCTTCTCCTTGCAGTTGCTGTACCCAGGAAAACATAGATGGTACCGCTTGACACCAGAGGCATCCAAGAGTGGATAGAGGTGTTCATTTAGGCAATGTCATACTGCCGACGAGACTCGATCTCATATTTTTCTGTTGCCTTTAACAATGGGTTTGTAGCCAAAAGGCAGCAGAGGTTTAAAATCTGAGTTTTCCTTCCCTTAGATGAGAAACAATCCAAGGTTGAGATTCCCCATCCACTTAGGTGTGACGGTGCTGTTCCATTAGGTAGTCTATGTATTGCTGGGGTTTGAACTTCAGCCTACACATATTGCAGGCCATATATGTTATGTTCTAACAGCATGGCTCTCCAGTCACCGAAATATGTTAGAAATAAAATGAGTCTGGCAGGTCTTTGATTTTTGACACACGGACAGAAAAATCGAGATCTCAGGTTCAAAATGTTGAAGATTGATGAAACGGTTATACATTTTAAAACTTGTATGCGTGTATCTAAAAAAAAATAGGTCTTTAATCAGCCTCACCTTTTTTGTGCCATCTCGTAGATTAATACTCAATGGATACTTTAAATTGGCAATATCTTCTTGGGTAGCTCCAACAGCAATGAAGCTGTATGATCCTCTAGTGTACTGATTACGACCCCAAGATGTCCTGTAGTTTGAAAGAATAATTGAAAAATAAATACAAGGAAGACTACAAAAATAGTATAAATATATTATCAAAAACTGAAGAAAAAAAAAATCAAAATAAAATTAGCAATCAGTCATTTCTTTTTGCTGAATATCAAAATATAGTTATATGCCACATTTGCCTCAAATGAATTATATTAAAATAATTTGAAGTTTATTTAGCTTCCCAAAAAAAACTAATTTAATTGAATTTATACTTTTTTGCATGAGATTTAGGTAAACTATACAAAAAATATATGTCATAAAGAAAGTTCTATGATTTCAAACAATTTAAAAAATGTGAAAGTATCCATATTGAAAAATAACATTTTGTTGCTGTTAACTGTTATTCTCTAAAAGCACAATTCGATTGTCTTAATTTTTTTTAAAGAAATGGGGCTTCCCTTTGTCCTGTAAAAATATTTCAAAACTTTGTAATAGTGGCAAGTAATTGTTCTGTCACATGATCTAACCAAAACGGTTTAAAAGTTTATGTAAAGTTGTAAATAACAGTATATAATTTTCTATTGCCAAATTTAGCTCTGTTTTATGTTTTTACATAAGTCTAACTAAAATGTTAATATTAAAAAAAAATTCAAAGCTAAAAGGGCATGATATTTATTTTGTTAAACCACTCCTACAGAATATAGATTTTTCTCTAATTTTTACTAGTTTTTATCTGATAAAATAAAGAATGTGAAATGAAATTTTATAAAATAAATATTCTTTGGAACATTTACTAATAATATTCTATACATATTTTTTCCAAAAGGATAACTAACCTTATAACCCTAATCAAATTTGGAATGTGGTCTGTCAATGACCCGATGAACATTTGGACAACTTTTTCCATGTCTTGCATTACTTCTTCATCTGTTAAAGACTCCAAGAAAAGTGCCTCCTTGCCAGACAGCCAACCTATAAAAAAGCAACAATCAACAATAACTGCCCCATGCATCAATGCACAGGTATTGGACACCAATGACAATGACTTGGCTATGACTAAGCCAACAATGTTTAATCGAAATATTTCTCACATTTTGAAAATTTAATATTTTCTAATTAAAGAACCCAAAGTGTTTAAATTGGATTAAAGTGTTAGGTAACCATTGATGTGCTCTTCAAGTGTCACCTGGGACTTATTCAAAGTGAAATAACAAAAACTCATGAAAAATATTTTTAAAAAAACAACAAATCACTTACCAACTAAAACATTATCATGAACCACCTCCAATGAATAGATTTTCCGGTACCACCTTTCCCTGAGATTTTCTGATGTATTAATAGTAGGATCCCAGGCAAGATGAACACGATGAGTAGGTTTCTCTACAACTGGCCCATCAAACACAAGTATGACCTTATTCACGACACCAAATCCCAAGTGTTGAATCGCATCCAGTTTTCTTTGTGGGAGGGATGGGCTAAACAACCTATCACAAGTTGCTTTGAGTACACCTAGAGATACTGTAACTATCACATGATCAGGATAATATATGTCTCCATTTTCACACTCTACACAAACTGATTCTTCCTCAGAGTTATTCAGAAGACCTTCGTAGTGGATGCGTCGCACTGGTGTGTTGAGCTTAATATTTTCTTCAGGTATTCCTTCTTTAACTATACCCAATATGGCACTGAAACCCCTCGGAATCACAAGATGGCGACCTGGTAGTTCCTTATATGATCCAAATTGAGAAAGTGAAACATCATTCAAGCTGTCACAACCACTTATACAACATTCCAGAAGGCGACGTTGATGGTACACTAATTCCAGCATGTGGCGCTCCTCCCCAGCTGTGTTTTCTAATTTTTCTTTGATCATACGTTCCAGTTCAGCACCTAAACTTTCATTTACATCTATAGGTGTATGTTCAATAAAATAGTCCTCACATGATGTTAACATTGTGCCATAGGCGAAGTCAACTTTTTTAACAGTGCCTTCGTGAATAGTTTCACCATTCTCGGTCATATATATATTTTTGCTATTCAGGTGCAGTTCTCTTTCTGTGAGCAGATTGTTTTCATCAGCAATTTTGTATATAGGGTTGTGTTTGACTCCATGTATCCAGTTGGCACCCATCTCAGCTCTGTGGCCATTGTTATCTGAAATTATGAATAATTTTTTTTTAATGTGTTTTCTTAAATAAGATAGTTATACACTAACTACAGACAATTTAACATGGATTTAGAAAAAACATAACATATTAGCTAATGTTCTAATTATCTGAAAATTTTACATAACAGAAAAATATACAGTAGAATTTGACATTCAAGTTGAGTGAAAATAAATTAAATCTTTGAAGAGTTCAGAGACTATTTTTTTATTTGCTATTTAGGTTTAATTTTTCTAAAGAAATGCATTGAGAGTGATCAGGCTTAGAGTCTTGATTGGAAAAGAATTTAAAAATATGCACTTGAATGTAGAGCAACTAACACAAAAATACAGTAAGAAATTGTCATCTAGGACAATCACTTGCTGACAACTTCACTTATTTCAAAGTTGCTCAAAATTTGTGTCTGTATCTTCATTATTTATTAACATTCTATGTTATCTACTATACATGTAATGTCATCTAAGGTGTTGAAATGCCAAACAGAAATAATTTAACTTGTGATAAATAATGATATTTAAGAATGATGTTAAAAAATGCATGCAGTTCTGAATGGTCTTCTTTGAACAGCAATTGTGTCAAAAATGAAATTCTTCTTCTTCTATATCTTAAGGGCCCACGATCAATTTATTGATCATTTTGGCTCCTATGCATGTAGATGGGATTTGCAATGTTTCTGTTACTGGTGGTGATGAGGAAATTATGCACTAGGGGTTTAGTTCCTTTTGAAAGATGGTTCCAGTCCCTGATTGTCTTGGGCAGGAATGAGCAGCTCCTATACTGGCTTCTTGCTGGTATGAGCCTGAATTGCCTGTCATGGCCTCGTCGCTGTCTATGGGGGAGAGAGACGAGTTTCTGTTTAATACTGGAACAGTGGACCAGCCCATTATTTATCTTGTACATCATGGTGTCTTAAGTTGTTTTTTTTTGTCATAATACGAGAAATATCCTAAATAAAAACTGCCTCAAATACACCTGCACCACAATTAAGTGGGACCACTAAAAAACCCATACATTTGTTCCAAGTGGGAAGATAATAATTAAAAAATACACAATAACCAAACTAGAGAAAACTTTGGCAATAACTGCTAAGATTCAAATTAAAAAATGCAAAAACTGCATCATGCCAAACTTAAATGTTTTTGTAAAACAAATAAATACAAATACTGGTACTAGACTTCAAAAAACGGGTAACAACCAAAAGTAAAGTAGATAAGGAGCTTTAGAGAGGAACGAAAGCAGCCCCCCTTCCCCCCCCCCTCACTCCCGGTGAACCGAAGTGCTCTTTGATGTACACATTAAAATTTAGACATTGAAAATCTCTTAACATATAGTAAACAATGAAAATGATCTACAATGTGATGCCCACCATAAGACTTGTGTCAGTGACCTTTTTTTAATTTATTGTAAATACCATTACTACCATTAATATTACCAATGGCGAAGAAAGCACCAGTAGCAACAAAGTGGGATATTGACCAGGTCAAAATTGGATGCTTTATTAACTTTCATTGCCTAATGGGTCATGAAAGAATTCTACCCATGTTACTTTTATCCCTGTTGAAACAGCAACAGGGCGAAATCAACTCAAAATTAGGTTATATTTAACATAACTGACGCATGCAACCCAATTAAATTTAGGTTTCATGCATAGATATGTCAGTTTATGTCTATGTTAATACTGAGGATCTTTTATATGAAGTGTAGGGTAATCCCTTTTTTTTTTTTTAGTCTTAAATCAAAGGTGAGTAACCAGTTATGTTTTAGCGTATTTAAAGTATTTATTTACTTATTACTGCCCCTTTGGGAAATTACTAAAAACACATTTCATTAACAAAATGCAGGAATATTTCTATATACCGATAATTATTTAGTAGAATATAATTTTTAAAGTGAATTGTGATAATTGAAATATATGAATCATAAATTATGGTTACTTGCTTTGACCTGGGTGTTATTTTTCTTTAAGAAGAATACCTTAATGCCTTTATGATAGATGAGGTCTCCATGACCATTAAGTACAATTGAATATAAGTCTAATCATTAGTAGACCTCAAATGTTTCCTTAAATTAAAAGTAAATAAAAGATGAATAGAGCTTTTTTTTTTATCTACCTATTTATGGACAGTGTAAAAATGTGAACCTTACACCAAAATGAATTGTCCTTAATTGTAAGACCTTCTACTTCTATAAAAATATGAGACCTTGTAGTACATTGTAAAAGAAAATCTTTTGAAGTGAAACAAAACAGGTATTTTCTGCATAAGTGATAGTGATTTTAAACTGATCTATCATAATAATTAGGAGAAATTTGAAACATCTGAGATTGCAATACTAATGCCTCATCGTGGTTATAGTTTTAGTTACCGGTATATGATTTGACTTAGATTCATATAAGGCAAACGCCTTAGGAGTAGATATAGTTTTAGTATAATCATAATCACTGATAGTCAGATATATTTCACCTTGCACCTATAGAACTACTACTACAGTCCAATGGTCCACTATGGATATTAAATGTTTATTTTATTAAATGAGATTGACTCAGAGTACGAAATTTGCTTTTTTTTTTTTTTTTTTTTTTTTTATGTTTTTTTTTTGGGGGGGGGGGGTGGGTGTGCTTTTGTTAGTAATTAATATTATTAGTAATGGCCTTTGCCTTTAATAATATATTAATTATTATTAATTATGTTTGACTTTTACTTTTAACTTTCAGGTACAGTACAGACAGTATTGATTTTTTATGTACTGTGTACCAAAAATTATTTTATTTGCATTAATATTTAAGTTATGACGTTAAAATAATATGTTACAGTGGTAGTAGAAAAGAAGGCTATCTAGACTAGCATATAGTTACGAGCCTACGCCCATTTTTTTCATTATTCATTGCATTGAAATATTTTGAATTTGAATTGATCGTACAAGTCCAAGTACAGTTATAGTACTAGTACTAGTACAGCACACTTACACTTTTAATTTTAAGACGTATTTTGATCTTAATTTATTTTTTAATCTTTAGTTTAGTAAATGAAAAAATACGAAGAGATAATTTCTAATAAAAAGAAAGGAGTGGAGATTATTAATAAAAAGCCTATACGTTACGAAATATTATTACAATTTACATGTCGGTGTGCTGTGTTCGACTTACCCACTTGGACGCTCCAAATTCTTCCACCAAGTCGGTCCGATGCTTCAAGAATAACATAATCATCTAATCCTTCCGATTGTAAGAATTTCCCCGCTGCGAGACCTGCTATTCCACCACCAATTATCACAGTTTTAATGTCTCGTCTAACGACATTGGCATGCCTATTCTCTACACCCGCCTGACCGTTCTGAACCCCGTCCTCCATTGTGGAACAGCTGACGCGTTCACAGCTCATTTATGGGTGATATTCCTTATTTGAGAAATAAGAAATAAATTTACTTCTCAAGTTTCCTGAAATGTACACAATGTAAATTTTTAATTATAAATCCTCGAATAAACAATGAAAAGAAATCAATGACACGTCTGATGTAGACTCCATGGCGTAGCCAACAAAACTATCCAACATTCGCAGTTGCAGACACGAAAATGTTATCTACTTCAACACAAACGCTGACGTCACAGCTTCGTGCGTTGTTTGGGTAATTCCATTTTAACAAGAGGGGGTTCTAAAAATAGAACTACCACTCTCTCAATGCCGCCCTCCCCCCCCCCTCCTCCTTCCCCTTTTCCCTTCCGTTCAGTGCTTGTTCTTTCTTTTCTTCATTTTCGTGCAGTGGTAAGGAATGAGGGCCTCAATGTCAATATAAAAGATACATCTGAGCAAAATAATAGTTTAAAGAAAGTATAATAGAATATGACGGTGAAATAGCATCATTTAAATATTGTTATAGAATCAAGGATTTTAGTGAACGTTAATTAAGTTAACAGAAAATAGTACCAGATTTTGGAAGTTGTGGTTAGACAGAGCAGTTCTATTTATCCGCAGGAAACGTATCAACAGTGTTGCCGACTTTAAATTTTAGACATGAATTATGTTATATTCAAGGAAGGTGGGCTCAAATGACAGACATTATCACAGGGTTACCAGGCAGCAGTGCATATGCATTTGCTTTACGAATTTTAATCGAGGGTTAGCGGAAACTCTGACCTTGCGCTGGCCCTGCCTCGCTAATCTTTATTTAAAATGTACAATAATCACACTCTGACGTCACTGACACGTCTCGTTTGATAACTTTTAACGGGATGTTGTAGATCCAAAAATTCAGAAATGTATCATGTATGAGATTCATTACTTGCACGGCACAGAGTTATGGTCTGTCCTAAATTTAGCACCCTTTACAACCTTATATAATTATCACGTTGATTTTGAACGCCTAGCCAACTCTATAACAAAAAAATAGACTAAAATGTACCTTTCATCCTCCCAACTTCAAGTTAAACCATCATCTATTACATTTATTGTATGGTATAAATACCACTCTTCGTCTTTTCAACAGTGCTCTTGAGTGGGAGATTTGTAGGCAGGGCTGTCAAAAAACACCAGCCCAAATGCCCGATATTAAAAGTTTGTTTGTTTGGTGTTGCTTTTTTTTTTTTTTTTTTTTTTATTTTTTTTTTTTTTTTTTTTTTTAAGAACTATATTGCGTTGCAAGTTACAACATTAGGTTTTACTCATTTTAAATAGTGTAGTTGATTAATGTAATCTGTATTACTAAGACATTTCAAATTGCATATCATGTTGTTTTTAGTTCTTTTAAAAATTAATTTAACGTATTTAAAACTGAAAAAAAAAAAATCAAACCAGCTTCCTGTTTTCTTTTATGGGATAGAAAATTCGGGGGACGCCTTCTATTTTTTAAATAGCAATGAGAGAGTGTGGGAGGACGCATCTGTACGCAGTTGGATGCATCCGTCGCGACCCCAGCATGAAGCATTTAGTTTAGTCGTTAATTCATTTATTTATAAATTTTGAATAAAATATGTACGGTAGCAGAAGTTTTATCGCTTTTTATTATTTAATTTTTTTTAAATTTTTTTTTTTTAAATCTGGTACATGAGAAATTTCCGGGCAAATGGTCTAGGGCGGGTACCTATTGACAGCCCTAGTTGATGACCTACCTCTGCTATTTTTAAATGAATGACGTACAACACATTATTAATAATATAATATTTTCACCTCCGCTCCTTTAGCGCAAATAAATTGGTGTTTCATTTTTTTTAAAATTATTATTTTATTAATGATACCATTCGCGTAATTAAGGAATACACCTCTGTCACTGGGTTATTCATAATTCAAATATTTATAAAAAATATGAACAAACATAAAATAAGAGGGGGGGGGGACGCATGTGGTTTTAGCAGAAGCTTTTATGTATTATCTTATGTGAAGTCGTATAGTTATAAATTGTTAGTTTCCTCCAATGGCGCATCTCATTTAAATGTCATGTTATTGGGGAGTGAATGAACCTGTCTCTAGTGTGATACACGGTATCTACTTAATAATTTCTGCAACTTTAAAATTTAACCAAAAAAAATAGAAGAAAATGAATCTTAAAAAAAAAAAAAAAAAAAAAAAAAAAAAAAAA